TCATTTAAAATCAATTTTAAAACCATGGAGTGAGTTTTATCATTCACTTCAATAGAACCAGGAGTTCACATCATTAAAAAGAGATAATGTAGTGTGATCATAGACCAATGTAGCCGAATAAAATGATTGTCATTCTCTTTCACACACATCTGTTTAATTATTACTGCTTTCCACCTCATCCTATCCAAGTGGTTTTTAAACAGGTGCAGTAGACAGATGTCTTCCATCCCTGAGATCACACAAAGCCTTTAGTTTTTCCGAAAACATAGATGCTGGCGTTGCCATAAGATCTGAATATAGTGGGATCTTTGCTCTCAGTCCAAATTCACTTATTTTATTTAATGCCTCATAACTGCAGTGTCATGAGCATCCCTTTAAAATGTCAACTGTTTATCCTTGCTCAGACCTAATGCACATCAATTTAACAGAATTAATCTCTATTTAAGAATCAAGAAGATTCTTTTCTAAGGTTCTAACATGACAATTCGTTGTGCAATGAAGCCAGAATCAAGCAAAGCAAAATCGAGCCCTATTTACAGATAAGAACAGTCGTGGCACCTGACCTTTGGTGTCAAAGAACATTTACTTACTTTATGTTTAGGTAACATCAACAACCAAGGGAAATATGAACTTTTAGCTTTCAGAAGATTTCATTTGTCATGCAGAAAAATAAATTCCTTTAAGCCCAAAGGCCTAAATTATATTAGCTCATGGCTGCAAAACATATGCTTGGAAAACAATCTTCTTTTCATTGGTGAGATGACTGGCATTTGGCTGTGTTCTTTCCTAATGCGAGAGAGCTGGTGGATGGTCAACTTTAACATCAAACTAAGCAAATGCAGCTTAATGCAATGATTTATAATAATGAAATTGGTCCATGATATGCTGTGTAACCCAAATATTTAATTGATGTGCCCTTTGGGAGGTCATTTTATATGACTGTAGATGTGTCAGAAGTGTAGAGTCATTGCATTGGTTAGTTGGAAGTCTGGCTCCCTTTCAGAAAAAGAAGCATACATGTTAAGTTCATTTATTTCCTCACATGACAGCTGAGCCTGGCTAATGTATACATCACGGGCAGTGCACCCTTTGCTGATCAGTACAAGCTTGTTCATACTGTGACTGCTGATTGTTTACACATTTTCAAATGTGCAGCTTTCTAATTAAAGCAGGTTTCAAGTGTGCTCTCTAGAGCTGCAGGCATCTAGGAAATTTCCACAAAGAGACAGTAGCTGTGTAAATATGCAGCTGGGCTAGCAGTAGTTGCACAAGACTTTCAACTCTGAAAAGAAAATGTCAATGTGCAAATAATCTCCTCTTCTTAATTTTATGTTTAAACATTTGGACTAATTCAAAAGAGACATATTTATGCATAGATGTAGGGCCAAAGTTATCCAGGCAAACTCCCCATTGACTTCATGGGGCCACCAGAGGGTATATATATCAAGGCATTTGTTTTTCTCTTGTATTTTTGTTTCATTGTAGGTGACGTATTTGGAGAGCAGCAAAATGATTAAGAAGAACTAAGTATATGTACAAAACTTTGCCTTAACCAATTCCAAATCCAGTCCCTTTCTGGAACTTGTATATTTAGCAGAGGCATAGCGAGGGTGCAAAGGCCCAGGGCAAAGGCAAAATTTGTGCTTCCCCTGCCGCCGTCTTGTGACAGGGGCCCGAATCTGGTGCATGGCTGAACCCAACCTTTGGAGGAGGGGAAGAAGCTTGTACAGCATCTTCCCCCACCCCCTCCAGTTTGGGGCTGGGCTCCCACATGCACTAACCTGCCGGCAGAGATGGAGGAGGGTCGGGCTGGGGGCGGACAGGGGGCTCCAGCTGGCAGTGGTGGGCGGAGGAGGAGCAGGCGAGCCGAGGGATGACAGGGGGAGCAGAGGGGAACTAAATTGGCATGCACCCTCTTCGCTATGCCACTGGTATTTAGGAACTTGGATAAATAAATGTTCTCCAAAATTCCTGGTTTTGCCCAGGGCTGAAGGGGGCTATATCAAAATACAGAACAATTGCTTGCCTTTGCAGTCTTTACTTAGGAAAAAAAATCTCACCGGGTTTGGAATTTCAGTGGGAGCGTCCCCTGAATAAAGAAGACATCATCAGGTCTTCAGGTTGGAAAAGAGCCAGCATTTTCAGTTACCACAGCTAATGCAGCAGCAGGGGGCAGCCAGAGCGCCAGGCCCTTTAACTTGCTGCCGGAGGGGAGGCACCCCACACTCCAGGGAGCAGCAAGGGCTGCCTGTGAGCTAGAGACACCACTGAGGGCTGCCTGTCCCAGTTCTGCCTGAGGCCTCGCCTCTTCGGGGATCCCCTGCACCCCGCTTTGCCCAGGGGCCCATGGAAGCTGTCAGCCCCCACCCTGCTTAGCCCAACTCTATTTCTAAATTTTGTGTAGTTGACTTCAGCACTAATTATGATGATAATGGTGCTTTCCAAATCTAGTCCCTTATCCACACTGGGCAAGATTCTGAATTTAGCTGAATCAACGTAAATCTGGAAAAACTCCCCAGAAGTCAAAGGGTGCAGTTAAAGGTCGAAGTCAGTAGAGTTCCTCCAAATCTATACCACTGCATTTGGTATCATTGTCTGGCCCATTCGCTCTTTTTCAAAAGAAAACACATCTTAGTTTCCATGTACTGTCCTTGAATCTTGTTTAGTTTTAAGGACCACTAGCAGGAAAACACAAATACACGACAACATCAAAAAGACTCTGTGACCTTTTGCAGACCTATTTCAGTCGTTCTCAGAACAGAGACATTTAAAAAAAAAAACCTCAGGAAATCAGCTATGTAAATGAACACAATAGCTGCTAATATATTATTCTGTAATACAAAAAAGAAGAAATTTGACTTGTTCGCCCTATTATAAATTTGCTAAAAATACAGATATATATTTATATTTGTATATATATATATATATATAATATTTAAAATCTGAACAGAAAAATAGACTACTCTGGAATGCATGAAAGTCACATGACTTTTCCATACATCAGATACTTATAGAGCCAACACAATGGCAAACAGATGGTACAGAGATTACTAGAATGTCTGTACTTTAATCAAGATTTATTTAAAGCCATATTCTGACCAACTGGGTGATTCTAAAGCAATCTAAGCTAATGCTTGGTTCATTTTGGTTACTGTAAATGTAATAATTAGTAAAACAGGAGAGCTTTGCTAAAGAAATAGATATAGGAGATGCTTCCATCTCTCTATTTTGTTGACTGTCTGAGCTATAAATGCCATACAGTTTCCATTATTTCATTACCTTACCCAGGAATTCTACTATTTGCTTAAAATGAGGTGCTTGAGAAGTCTAGTAAAAAGGATTGGAGATCATGTTACATGGAACTTATCAACAGTGAGAACCTGGCATTAGCAACCTTGTCTTTGTGATGACTTTTAAACATCCCTGTTATTTATTATAAACGGTTCCAGCCATAATTCTGTTAAAACATAAATATACAATAGATACAAATATTAACAATACATTACAATTTTACAGAAGAGAATACTGTTTTTTTCCTTAGAAATGTTTATCATGTTAGCTGCAAGGGAAGAAAAGGCTACAGTTTATCACAGCCATAGTTGCCAAAGAGACCAACCGCGTAGGGTTTGTTTCTATGTGACGTGCACGGATGAATAGTCCTCAGGCCTTTGACACAGTATGTTCAGAAAGAGAATATGTGTTCCGTTGGCATTCTTCCTTCTTCTTTCTTCTTCTTTTCTTCTCTCTCAGTGATTCTTGAACCTTTCATAAAATGTGGGTTTCACAGGAGAGTCTGGTTTTGTTTTTCCTTAAATGTGCTTAGGTGAAGTTTCTAAGAAAAGGCACTGAGAAATCTACTACAATAAGTTTACTGCTGTTTTCCTTTGTACAAAGCTAAAAGTCAAAAAAATCTTTTACCACCTGGTTAAGAAAACTGCACCCATTCTTTCCACAAATAGATATATATATATTTAAAAAGTTGTAGATTGTGTAAGACACAAGCAAGAACCCAGACATCATGTGCACACGGTCCTTTCGATTGTGATGCCCCTTGCTGCAATAGATAAAACTTTTATCAGCTTGCTTGATGCATGATACACAGTAAAGGCCCTGAATGCCAGTTATTAGTGACTGAACTTCAGACTTTAGCTTGATGCAAGAGATATAAAATATTTCCCCTCCAAATTTTAGAAATCAGGAAAACATTTAGTAAATGAACTGTAAAATGAAGTTGGTCTTTAAATACCTATGGGACTGGGTGAGTATTATGTTTTCAAAGCACTGCCTTTTCTCCTGTAATGAGTACAGCCTCCCCATCTAGCTTAGCTTTTCATTTGAGAGTAGATTTCCCAGTGCTTACATATATATATATTATGTACACACACGCACACATATATATAGATATATATTTCTTATTCAGACTTTATTTCATTAAAATAAGTTAATCATATTTCATTTTTCACTGGGCACAAAATGAGAGCTACATCTTCACACACAAATAAGAAAGAAATGCTCTTCCAGCATATTATATGCTTAATTGTACATTATTCTCTTTCTATAAGAAATCTATAGGACTTTGGCCATTAAGACTTAAAAGGTAGAAATTTAATGATACTTTTGACAGCCAAGTTCAAAAGTGATTCAATAAAATGCTACTTTAATGGTAAGACTACATGGATGAGATAAGGTGTGTGTCAGATTCGATCACACAAGGCAGAGAGAGGGCCTTTGGTTACAAGGAGAGTTGCACCAGTTGTTTTTATTAAAAAAATGACAATTATTAATTTATACATTTTTGTTAGTGCCGTTTACAAACCAAATACATCACTTTGAATGAATGTGTGGTAACTACTACATTGTATGGCTATCTTTAAATATGATCACTTTCCTGATATGTAAAATATGACTTTTTTTTACATGAAAGCATCAGCTCTAAAAATATTTAAATTGGAAATCACTATTATTTACTCTATCAAAAAAGTTATTTTTTCCCTGAATTGATTTTTTTATTTAATTTTTTTTACATTTGTGCTGATGGCAGACATGGCTGATGACTGAAACATCGAGATTATGCTGAGACTGCTCTCTTTCAACGATATCGTTTCCATTCTATGGCCTAGCAGCCAGTGGAATCAATCAATACTTAAAGTTCTATCTGCTGGAAAGTTATCTTTACTTTACTTTCTAATAATTATTTTTAATAAGTATCTCAGCAACACACTACATTAGTTCCCCTAAGTACACTTGTATTTACGATGGACCGAAGCCTGAAGTCCATAGCCAGGCAACATGCCCATTCAAATTAATGAGTTTTGTAAAAACTGACTAATGCCCCTCAGAACTGGCCCTAGATAAGTGCTCTGCAGATGTTTCTGTATGAGCAGGTACTTTTATTTATTTTGAGTACTCGCGGTATAATACTTTGCATGGAATGAGGTCTGTTCTCCTGTTACTGGGCTAATGCTTGAGGTCTTTATTCAGTTTGTTCTTTCTTTCATCTCCCTCAGGAAATTTCCTAGGATTTAGCCTTATTAAGACATGAGTAAAAACTCCGAGGAAGAACCTCAAGCTCCAACCCAACATAAGGAGAGTAATCTGGATAATTGCTCTGCATACTCAGTGCAGAACAGATCCAAATATGTGTACAGTATTGTGCCAAGGGCAGATCTATCAAAGCTATAGTTACAACCCATAACGATTCTTAAAACATACATGTGCTTATTGCTTTCATCTGTACGTGCTGCATTCATTGTTACTGATGGACAGAAGCATAGTATAACATGGACAGACAGTTACATTCAGGACCGACCAACAGCTATTTTGCAATAGAAAGGAACAAAATACCAGACCCCAGACCCCGACAGTTTATCTTCCTAGAGATGTAAAGTATTCCTTATAAAGTGATACCTGATATTTATGTACCAAGACCTGTTGCATGCAAATAGTTACACATCACAGCAGGTACTCATAAATATGCATCAAACTCTTATTGATATAAGTTATTTACAGTTTAGCTTTACAATGGAAATAGACAGAACATAAAGTGTTACCATCACAGTTATCACAGGACGGATTGTGTTTTGTTACAGGTGTGTAACAAATCACAGCCACGACAGGAGGCACAAATGAAGATAGTGATTGTGTAAAGTGCTAGTTTCTTACACTCTGGTTTGTTATTCCACCTTCACACACAAACCAACCCCAAAAATAAAACCAAAAAAGCCATCAACAGAAAGTGCTTTTTTTAGGAATATTACAAATTAAAGAAAAAATATTTCCTACACAAGTCAACATAACTGTATAGGACTATGTTTAAAACCTAAGCTGGTTACTGTTAGTTGCATTTGCTTAAAATGGTCGTTTAAAAAAAATGATTGAATATCATTAAGCTATTTGACCTGATTTGCCTCTTACTTATATCCATTCTACATGGGTGTAACTTCACTGGTTTCTACGGCGTCACTCCTGATTTACACCAATGGAAGCTACAGCACAAATCAGGCCTGTGGCGTATAATTAAATAAGTCCTCTTTTTGCATATTTAGTTAGCACTTGCATATCTAGTCATTCTGCACCGGCTGAGTGCAAAATGCTTCAGTCTGGCTCGTTCCTTTCCTCCTACTTTATGAGCTAGATTGAGGCTGACCCCTACATAATATGGAAGTCAGAGTGGGAGGAGCATAAAAAGCCATTGCTGCTGCTCTACACTCTAGTGTAGGGGCCAGCTGCAATACAAGCAGTGTACAAGCCTAGAATGCCTGGACTCTCCAAACAGAGCAGGCTCCTGGGCCCCTGCCTTCAGCACAGGACAGGCGGTATGGGGGTAATAGACTAATAAGAGGGAGCACCTTACACCCTTTCCACTCAGGTGCATTCTCCCACAGTAACCTGGAGGAATTCTGGCTGAATCAGCCCATGTGTGCCTGGAGACACCACCTTCTGCACAGCCCCTTCACATGCTGTGGCTTAGAAGCCTCGCTATAGCCCCAGAGTAGATACAGGTTTAGCAATGGGCAAGTGCAAGTTTCACTACATTCAAGGGGGCATTTTAAATTAGATACAAGTGGTGCAACTCACCCTGATGATATTTCAAAATAAAACATCAGGTCCTACAGTATCTGGAAGAATTAAACACACACAGGGCATTTTCATAATTTATTTCTCTAGACCACTTATTTTAAATAGACATAAGCTGAGATTTACCCATAATGCAAGAATTCCCTGTTACCTTTAGACACTGTATCCTTCAGAAAGAGAGATTGCAGATGGGGATGTCTGGAACAACTGCCCTGAACCAACAAATATTGTGTTTCTGATAACTTTTATACCAGTCCCACTAATCTGTTCCAGTGTTCAAATCTGGTTGCCTTGGCCTCTTCTATGGAAGTAACTCAGATCAGAGGTTAACATTTCCAAAAGGAGATCCATCATACAAGAGGATTGAATGCATATTTGGTCATGCTGACTTCAATGACGGACATGAAAGGAGATCAAAGTGTGAGCAAGACTTGCAATCTTTATTTTCATTGACGTGTTGTAGGATGAATCAGGCAACATCTTTACAGTTGTCCCACAGAAGGGCGTTTTCACAAGCCCACAGCAGGCCTTCTCTCAGACTCTGAGAAACAACGGGCTTGTTTCAGTCTAAGTTTATGCCATGCAGAAGCTCTCTTTCTTTGTGTTGACTGTAAAGACATTCTTTTTAATGTTCAACAAGTTTTTTTGGAGCCACACGTTAGATGCTTTGATCGTGGGTGTTAGCATGTCCTCCACCACCTGGTAATATATGGACCTCAGGTGAAATGTGATTTTCTAGTTTGACAGTCTCTTGACTGCCTGGAGGTTTTCCAGTGATACCTTCCATGGAGTAAATGCAGTTTTGTCCTATAAACTTAGGTGAGGTGGGTAAAGCAGCACTCTCTAGATGGTTCTTCTCCATTCTGTAAATGTTATCTTTTTGCCTTAGATAACCACTGTTTGTAACATTGTACTTGGGACTTACATTTCCCGGAGGGCTTGAGTCATAAAGCAACTGACCTTCATCATCTGTGTCAGCATCTATATATTTATGTATGCTGGCATCGTGAAAGTTGAAAGCTATTGCTATCTGCTTCTCTGGCGACGTTGGGGGTGTTCTAGCACTCGCCGTTGTGTAGATAGAGGTTTCTGGACTCACTAAAGAGCGATCAGAGCGTATGGAACTGTCTGCAGCGGTGGCAGCTCCCCTGTTCTTGAGAGCATCTGGATATATTCTCAATATATTTGATCCTGGCACTAATGTGCTATTGTCATCTTCCATAAAGTTGACTTTCAGCGATCTTAATTTTAAAGGGTTACTGGCTTTTATGGAACTGTTGGGACTTTCTATGAAAAAAGTAGAGCGATGGCTGCCCTCGGGATGTGGGTTTATCTCCATGAACCTGGTTCCACTTCTCTCTGCCCTGACTTGTTCCTGAATTGGATTAACACCCCCTTTGCATGGAAGTGTAGCAAGCGGACTGTGGGAGAATCTCCCAGTGTCTGGGAAATCTGTAGCACAGCTTATAAAACTGTCAATGCTTGACATGCTCCTCATGTCAATGATCCCGTCAGCACGAGTGGTCAGTAAAGGAACCATAGGGCCAGGAATGGTCTCCATTTCTAGCTCTTCCTTTTGCTTTCCAGGATGACCTGTGTCTTTCGTGTTGAGGTTTGGCTGTGACTGAGTCTTTGCCATTTTGTTGTACATGTCCTCCAACTGTTGGACATTCAGGTGCTGAGGGCTGGAAGAGGACCGGGCCTTTTCTGGAGATCCTTGTTCCCTGGTTTCAAAAGATTTACTGGAGCTAGTTTCAGAGAGTGTTCTCTTGGTCCATTTCCACTTGCTGGGGGATAAATGATTGTCCTGAACTTTATCTTTTTTGCCTGTGCTTTCTCCATTCTTTTCAACCACAATATCCATCAGTTCTATACTACGGGCAAAAGCATCCTTCATATTCATGGAGACAATGCTGCCATTTCTTTTTGCTCTTTCAAGTGCTTCTCTGCGCTTGATGGCTTTCTCCTGCCTCTTCTGCTCTTTGTAGAACTCAGAGAAGTTATTTACAATAATTGGGATGGGAAGAGCAATCACCAGCACCCCAGCAATGCAGCACAACCCTCCAACTATTTTGCCTAAGAGAGTTTTGGGGTAGATGTCTCCATAGCCTACTGTTGTCATGGTGATAGTTGCCCACCAGAAGGAAGCTGGGATGCTCTTGAATTTTGTGTCATCTTCATCTTTTTCTGCAAAAAACACTAAGCTGGAAAAGATCATAATGCCCATGGCCAAAAACAAGATGAGTAATCCAAGCTCATTATAGCTCCTCCTCAGTGTAAACCCCAAGGACTGTAAACCAGTTGAGTGCCTGGCAAGCTTTAGAATTCGGAGTATCCTCATGATACGAAATATCTGCACCACCCTGCGTACATTTTGGAACTGAAGTACACTTTTGTTTGATTCTGTGAGGAAGATAGTGACGTAATAGGGTAAGATAGCTAGCAAATCAATAGCATTCAGGGGGCCTTTGAAAAACTTCCATTTCTTAGGCGAGGAGAGGAACCGCAAGAGGTATTCCATTGTAAACCATGCAATGCACACTGCCTCCACGTGGGCAAGCTGAGGGTTGTCTGTGGTTTGTCCAAATTCATCCATGCCTTGTAGTTCAGGAAGCGTATTAAGTGACAAGGCTATTGTAGACAACACAATGAACATGATGGAAATGATGGCCAAAATCTGCAAAGAAAAGAGAAACTAGTTAGTTCCTCTTAAAAGATATGCTCCAACATTTAACCTCATCAGCAGTAAAACACAGGATATTTTCACTGACATATCTTAGGCTAACTCTGCTCTGAGTCATTCAAGTGTGGCTTCCATATATAAAACATAACAAAATATGTTCTAGAAAGGTTTCACTCTACAAACTGTTTTTAATAGTGGCTTGTATGCAAAGAAGGTTGAACACGGATATTCCAAACCAGTTTGTTCATCTCTACCTGTTCGAGGCACTGGTTTCAGATAGCTAAACTGTCTGGAGGATTGTGAGGCAGATAATTCAAAGGAGTACCTTTGTATTAGCCATCTATAAGGCACCCATTAAAGTCCACCTGTAGATGAGAGCCAGATATCCATGCAGTTTGGGGATGCATTTGTGTATGCAAAATGTGTGTACAAATACACCACATTTAATGTACAGTTAACATCATTGTGTTCATTTGGTCACTGCATGTGCACACGGCTAATAATGCTCACTTGCATGTCTAAATCACACCTCGCTGGCTGTGATGCCAAAATCACATAGAGAAAAAAGGAGACAGGTAGCTTTTAGCACATGCAGTAGAGGCTCATGCCTTTATCTCCAGTGGTCCCAGGTTCAATCCCACCTGGAGAACTGGAGTCTGTCGGCATTACACATTTACAATTGTACCATATGTGCCATAATTTGAATGATGAAGACTGGCCTGGTTGGTTTGAAAGCTACTAAAACTTCCCAGAGATTTTTAAAAGAGATCGTAGAATTCAAAAATATTCCATATTTTGCCTGATCAGCTTTTCAAATTCATCATCATAGCCTGGGACAACAGCTAATCTACTGGTGAAAATCAAATGAAACAACTTTGAGAAGGTCAGGGCAGGTCGGTACCAACCACCAGAGAACACACCAGTCATTAGAAACCCATTCTTGGAACAAAGGCCACACCTATACTTACTGTGCCGGAGATCGTTCTTCTGGTGACCCTCTAAATTGAATGCTGAGGGTGCTCCCGATTGATTGTTTGATTATTATTGAATGATTTTTATTTACATAGCTGGAGTTGGATACCTGAAGCAGACCTTCCGGGTATAGTATAGACCTGACCAAAGCGTGCAAGGAGAAGAAGAAAATGGCTAGAATTTTAAAAAGTGTGTTCCTGAATCACTGATTGTACAGAGATTAGGAAGAGGTACAGTGCTGGATTAATCTATGCTCAATACAACTTTAAGATTGTGTATCTGAGCTGTCTTCCTGTAGATGTTGTATACAGGCATTAAAATTGAACGTGTTCACTTTTTTTCTGTTCCCCTGCTTTCAAAAGCTGATGACATTTTCTTTTAAGTTATTTGTGAGATGCTCTAGAGTTGACAGACAATCCGAGATGCCCTTTCTCTTGGTGATGAATTAATCCTACTGCTTGCTGACTTGGTGGAGGATATTTCGTTTCTTAGGCTATTGGCAAAATATGGAAATGCATTCAAAACATACATGTCTATGACTATTTTTATGTATTCATTGTGCTGCAAGGGGATCCTATATGCTTACTTCTCTGCTGCTCAGGTTTGAAAACTATATAAAGTCAAAAGCTGCTTTGGGTAAATATACCACAGTATACAAAGAATTATAAAATCCCATGGCAGGACGTCAACACAGTGAGTTGAAAACATGACAAAGAACTCATTCCCCACCCAATTTGACTTGTTAGAAATGTAAGTCTGGCATACAGTGACACTGTTAAACTGGTTTTTATGCACTAGCATCAGAAATTTCTGACAGGAGCATTAGAGAAAGAAACTCTGGCATATCACAGTTTCACTTGTAAACAGTGCAAATATCATAGCAATCAGGATGGCCCAAGCTTTTGAACATCTCTGCCTGCATGGACAAGAACGAAAACAGAACACAGTGCAACCTCACTCTTGCCACTGTGGGAGAAGCATCCATTTTCCATCACACACACATTGCACCTGTCTCTTACTCAAGGAGTGCAAATTGGATGTATGTCGCAATGCTTGAAGTGGGCTGATGCAGTACACTTCAGATGTGGGTTTGGAATAGAAGTAGACTGTATATCCTTTGGAATCAAACAGTTAAAGAGATACTGACAGGTAATTTAGGCTAAAAAATGTTTATTTCTATGGGGTGTTTTAAGTGTTAAAACATCCATTTGTAATTTCCAAAAGTTCCATAACTTTTTTTTCAAAACAATGTAATGCAAGACATTTTTTTAAAGTGACTAAAAATATCTCCCCTGTAAATTTTGTAACCCAGGCAATTAAATTAAATGGAACAAATGAACAGAGCAAATGGTGAAAAGGATATTGGATTTTTACAATTCACCACGGTCAAGAATTAAGTTATTGCTGGAAACATAGGTAGGAAACTTCTCTTTTCTAAGTGTTTCTTCCTATTCTTCTTAAATATAACTTTATTGTTAGAGAACTGGAAATGCACAAGTCACTAGAGACAAAATACCAGTAGGAAACAGCTTAGAAATTAATATAAACAAGTGTGTGAACTGGATGCCAGACAAAGGTAATCAAATATACAATCAGACCATGAATAACAGAAAAGAAACAAGGAACAGGAAATAAACTATGCCAGCCCATACATAGCCAATTTTTTGTTTTGGTGAACGAAGTGGTGAAAAGTGGAAGAACATTTCACATAAACATTGGCACAATGAATTATCAAAAAGTGAACCCCCAGTTGGAGATAAGATAATTTCTTCAGTGTCAGCTCTGAAATGGCACTGATTGATAGATTTTAAGGCTAGAAGGGACCACTAACTAAGGCTATGGTTGAAGTACACATTTTTCTTCATGCAAGTTATGTCAGTGAACAGATGCCAAAATTTGTATATTGCACAGGCATATTTGGCTGCTTGCATCAGCACTGCATGTACTTACCAGAATTGCTTGCTTATGTCAATACAAAATGCAGTGCACTACAGGTACCATATGCTGCCACCCCATGCAATGCCTTTTGGGAACTTTTATCTGTGGATTGCGAGGTAGAAATTACTCTCATGGGCCCGCTGGGCACTAGGGGTCAAGTTGTCAGCCTGCAGCTTTCTCCTTCTATGTCCCATAATTTCATAGAATCAGGGTTGGAAGAGACCTCAGCAGGTCATCAAATCCAGCCCCCTGCCCAAAGGGGGACCAACCCCAACTAAATCATCCGAGCCAAGGCTTTGTCAAGCCAGGACTTAAAAACCTCCAGGGATGGAGATTCAACCACCTCCCTAGGGAACCCATTCCAGTATTTCACTATCCTTCTAGTAAAATAGTTTTTCCTAATATCCATCCTTGACATCCCCCCTGCAACTTGAAAGCACTGCTCCTCGTTCTGTCATCTGCCACCCCTGAGAACAGCCTCACTCCATCCTCTTTGGAACACCCCTTCTGTGCCTTTAAAAAAAATCCCACAAAAACCACACAGCATGTCTCAGTCTTCACCATCTCTGACAGAAGCATGGTGCCCACAGAGCTCCGCACTGTTCTTATTAATGCTGCAAATAAAGGGTGCGTGATTCTCCTGTATGTGTAAACCTGAAAGAAATACCACATCAATGCTGGAGGTGGGAGCATCTTTAGGGACAGCTTGCTAGAGGACAGACCAAAAAATCAAGTCCAAGTGATTGGTGTCATTCACAGAGCAGTTGCAGAAGGTGAATTGCTCCTTCTGGGCCTGAGAAATGAACGCTGATTGGTGGGATCACATCATAATGCAGGTTTGAGATGACTAGCAGCAGTTGCAGATGTTTCAGGTATGAAAGGCCACTTTCCAAGATCTGTGGGCCAAGTTTGCCCCTTGACTCCAGCACAAGGACACCAAAATAACAGCAATACTGACAGAGGAGAAGTGAGTGATGATCACTGTGGAAGCCTGAAACTGTGGATTGCTTCTGATCAGTGGAAATTCATGTTGGAGTCAGAAGATCCACTGTAGAGGCCATTGTCATGCAAGTGTTTAGGGCTGATAATCATGTCTTGCTACTCAGGACGGTGACTTTCAACCATGTGCAGGACAGATTACTTAATTTATTGCAATGAGGTTCTTGAACGGCAGCCGGAGATAGATGTCTCACACATTCCTATTTTGGCACAGCCAATCTCGCCACAGATGTATTACTGTTCTGTCACTAGCATGCAAGCACTGGTGGATCACTGGGGACACTTCATTAATATCCGTGTCGGCTAGTATGGTCCAAAAAGATGCATGACGCTTGCATCTTTAAAAATACAGAACTGTTCAGAAAGCTGCAAGCAAGGACATTCTTTCCCAACCAATGGATTACCCATTGGCTATCTGGAAATGCCAGTAGTAATTCTGCGGGATGGAGCCTACCCCTTGCTCTCTCTGGCTCATGAAGCTGTATACTGGCCACCTCAGAGCACCAAGGCAAGATTTAATTTCTGACTAAGCAGTTGAAAAACAACTTTTGACTGTGCTTCTGGTAGACTGAAGGAATGCTGGCAGTGCTTATTCACCAGATTGAGTTTCAGTGAGAAATGTACTGCAATAGTTATAGCTGCCTGTTGTACCCTGGATAATATTTGTGAAGCAAAGAGGAGAAGGCTGCTGCCAGGGTGGAGAACAAAGGTGGAGGGTCTGTCTGCTAGTTTTGAACAGTTAGACATAATAGCTACTACAAGCCCGAGCTATTAGTGCACCCTGGGCCCCGGGAGCGTGGCCCTGCCCCCGGGCGTGTGGCGCATGCATGGCCCTGCCCCAGGTGCGTGGAGCATGCGTGGTGCCACCCCCATCCAGCCTGGCAGCCCTGTGTAGCACCCCCTACAATGGGATGCCCCGGGCGGTAGCCAGGTCAGCCCGTACCATGGGCTGGCTCTGACTACAAGAGCTCACTGTGGAGCTATGAAGTTGAGGGAGCACTTTAATGGTCAGGCACAGTTGTGCTGTGTGCTGGAATGTTCTCTGGGCCTCTGCATTGGGTGTTGCTAAGAACTGTGAAGTGCTT